AAAATATCAATAAATCTTAAAATATAATCTTATAAATTATTTAATTCTTCATTTTTTCTTATAAATTCAAAGTATTTAATTCTTCATTTTTTCTTATAAATTCAAAGTTCTCATTATAATGGAAATTACATAAAAATGTACTCACTTACATGTTTAGATTTAATTTTTTAGGGATAAAAGTAGATTTCTCAAAATATAAAATTGCATATTTAGACAATTCGCACTATAGAAGTTTTGAATTTTTTTCATTTAGAACAAATCTCATATTACGAACAAAAACGTAACACTCTAATGTAATACTCCAATAACATAATACTTTAATGTAACATACTAAAAAATTCTTTGGTGTATTTTTTTTCAAACGTAACAGCGTAACACTAAAAAAAAAAATTCTTAGTACACAAAAAAAAAAAGAAAAAAAAAAAAAAAAAAAATAGCATGCTTTTTCCAAACATAACACTCCAATCAATGTAATACCAAACATAACACTCCAATCAATGTAATCCCAAACATAACACTCCAATGTAACACACAAAAATACTGAAAAACTCCTTAGTATACTTTTTTTCAAACGTAACACTCACAGTTTGAAATTATATATTTGTCCAACACTTACTAATGAATATTTGTACTCCTTTTGGAATGATTTGAAAAATCCCACATCCTTTTTATGTTTAAGAAAAATACAGTAAGAATTTTGTAACGTAATACTTCAATGTAACACATTAAAAAATTCTTTGGTATACTTTTTCCAATCATAATACGTACCACTAACACAAAATTTCTTAATGTTTGTTTTCGAAATGTAGCGCTCCAATGTAAAAAAATAAATAAATAAAAAAAAATCTTTATCATACTTTTCCTAAATGTAACACTCCAATCAATATAATCCCAAAGTAACACTCTAATGTAACACACAAAAATACTAAAAAAATTCTTAATGTACTTTTTTTCAAACGTAACGTTCACAGTTTGAAATTATATATTTGTCCAAAACTTACTAATGAATATTTGTACTCCTTTGGAATGGTTTCAAAAATCTCACAACATTTTTTTTTAATATTATATTGGAGTGTTACATTTAGGAAAAGTACAGTAAGGATTTTTTGTGTGTTACATTAAAATATTACATTAAGGAGTTTTTTTAAAGTATTATAATGAAGCGTTACATTTAGAAAAAATACAATAAGGAGTTTTTGTGTGTGTTATATTAGAGTATTACACTAAAAAAAAAATTGTGTGTTACATTAGAGTGTTACACTAAAGAATTTTTTTTAAGTTTTATATCAAAGTGTTACGTTTAGGAAAAGTACACTAAGAAGTTTTTTGTGTATTATATTAAAGTGTTACAGTAAGAAATTTTTTTGTGTTACATTAAAATGTTAAACTAAGGAGTTTTTTTAGAGTGTTATATTAGAGTGTTACGTTTGGAAAAAGTATACTAAGAAGTTTTTTTGTGCGTTACATTATAGTGTTACTCTAAAAAAAAATTTGAAGTGAGTGTTACATTGGAGTATTACAATTTCAAATTATACATTTTATCAAAACTTACTAAGTAGTTTTTATACTCTTTTTGAAATGTTTGAAGAATCTCATATCTTTTTGAAATATTTAAAGAATCTCATATTTCAAGTCATTTTTTTACTCATTTTGAAACGTTTTCTAAATAAAAAAAAGATTTTTATATATTGCGTACCTTACTTTTGTAGCACAAAAGAAAGAAAAAAAAGTGAAACATAATAGAAATAAGAATATACAATTAAATTTAATTTTTAAATAATATATTAAATTTACCTTTTCAAAATCCGTGAGACTAAATGGTCTATAAGTCGTACACTTTTAGGTACTACGCAACTAAGCAGATCATAAAAATAAAAATAAAAATTGAGAAGAAAAAAAATTCATTACAGGCAAAAGAAAAAAAAAAAAAATTTTCTTTTTTATAATTTTTTGACTTTTTAGTCTTTAATGAATTTTTCTATGTTTGGTGATAACAGTGGAATGAAAGTAAAGGTGGAGGTGGTGGGGTGGTAACAATAGTTGAAAAATCTAAAAATCCGCTAAATATTGATTTGTAATTGTGTATTAACTTTAACGAGTAAATAGCAATTCCAATCAAACAATTAAAGACAAATCAATACAACTATTTAACGTGGAAAAATCACAGTTGGAGCGCCTCCAATTGTGATAAAAAAATCACGAGCAAAAGCTACAAAACAATCCACTAAAAAGACATAAAGGAATTACCTAGCGAATCCACGCCCTAATCGAATCGACCCCTATATGCCTCTTCCAACCATGTCTTCACCTCGGAATTGTCTTGCCCAACATTGAATCCACAATACCGATGTCGAATCACAAGGATAAGTCACTCCGAAATTCACCAAAGTTTCAGGCCCGAATTTCACGAAACCCACCAAAGAACAACACTCTCTTTTGTATTGAATGAAACAAACAATCCTTTGATGTATACTTTTCAAACCAGATTTGAACTCAAACAAATATCAAAGAAACTAGCAAAAAAACTCTAGATATAAACTCTAATATCCAAAAAGAAGATCTGGAAGTCGTAACCCTAAAATCTGACGGAACCGCATATTTATAGAAAACAGATCCGCGATCTCCGCTCGAGCGCAAGAATGGCCGCTTGAGCGGACTGACGCTCAAGCGTAGGAAGTTTCGCTCGAGCGCAAAAACACAACTTCCAGTACTTTTACAAACAGGTCAAACTTCTAGAACCAAAGATTCTTCGCTCGAGCGCACAATTGGCCGCTCAAGCGGATAAGCAACTTCGACTGCATTTTTACTTTTTGCTTCGGGGGTGCTGCCCCTCAACCCCGCCAGGGCGTTGCCCCGGACCCGCCAAGGGGCACTGCCCCCTAGACCCTTGCGAGATGATCGGGCAGTTTAATCCCCGACATAGTCAGCGAAGTAGCAAACATAAAAGAATAGACATCACATACTTCTTTGCATAGGTACAATTCGGGTTGAATTCGAATTTAAAACTCATAACTTCACTGAAGTAAAAGATCGAATAAAATTACAACTGAAATGAGTTTTGTCAAACGGGATTGCCAAGAATAAAAACCTAACAACAGTGATAGCAACGATAATAGTAACGGTGGTCGTGGTGATGGTAGCGTGGTGGTTGTGGTGAGAGTAGTGGTGGTAGTGTAGTAACATTGGTAAAACTTTAATACGAAAAACATTTTTCGCATTTTAAAAGTGAAAAAAAAAAAAATTCTGCCTAAATAGTAAGGATGTAAGAAAAATCAAAAAATTGACCAAACCAATTGAATTGAACCAAACCGTTTGTATTTGGTTTAGTTTTTTTAACAAAAATTGGTATTTGTGATTTTTAAATTTGATTTTTTTTTTTAATTTTCAGTTCGATATTAGTTTAAGCAACTTATATACTGAACTGTCCCATTTTCTTGTAGTGCCTATCATCCCTATAACCTAAGTTAGTATATTCTTATTATATATAATCGTAATTTTAACTCACTATTCTTGAAACCTTAGTGTTTATTATTAGTTTTTGTTTGTATTTTTGTTAATTTAGAAATTGTAAAATATTTATTAAATGGATGGATAGGATATTTTGAAATGGTTAACAAATGGTTAATTTAATATTTTTATATAAATGAATGACTATTCTACAAAATGGCTTAAATTTGAAAGATACTTAACCGATTAAATCGCACCAAATCGAACCGTTTCAATTGGTATAGTTCGGTAAACAGTCTGTATCAATGTTCAAAACAATAAAACTGACATTATCGATTATGTGAAAAATTATATTTAAATACCGACCGTACCGAACTGATTACACCCCTACTAAATAGGCTTATTTTTTATGGACCATAAAAAATAATTTCCATTGACTATCATTCTCTATTGTATCAAACACCAAAAAAAAATGTTTTTCACCCAATCAAATAAAGCGTTCAATCAAATTCAACAGGGAAATATTTTATTCTTTAACAAATTGTACGGAAATTTTCTCAAAACCCCCTAAGCCCAACATGTTAGTATATAAAGGATAGTTCAAAATATTTTACTTCTCAAGCCCCTGAGCATGAAGTATATTCTTCATGAAGGACAAACTAATAATCATGAAAGAGTAATAATTTGAATAAAGAATCCAAATTCCAAAATCCCAAAAAGTGAATCTTATCTCGCTTAACTGTAAGTTTTCATCTTCATCTTCTCTGTAGAACCCAATAAGCACAGTAGTGTGAGGCATTAGAGTCCTCCTCTCAATCAAATACTACTTCAACTAGAAACCCAAATCAACCACAGAAGTCAAAGGCAAAAGCATAGCTTTGTGAATGATTCGGACAACAAGGTAACCACCATGTCCATTTCTTCGAACTTCATTACGTGAACCCATATCGACACAGATTTCAAATCTTGGAAATAAGTGAAATTCTCAGGCCCCGTTTGTTTAGGATTATAGCGAGGGGATTAGGATTACTAATACCTTGGACTAGTATATGAGGTGTTTGTTATGAGAAATAGCCATGGAACTACTAATACCTTGGGACTAACTAATACCTTGGTATTACTAATACCTTGTTTATTTTGAGAGATGAGGAGGGTATTACTAATACCTTGGTATTACTAATACCCTTGGGGAGGGGATTCATAGTGAGGAGGTAGAGATGGTATTAGAAAAATAGTGAGGGGATTAGAAATTTTTTTATTTTTTTTTATTTTTTATATATTGGGAATTTTTTTTTAAATATTAATGTTTAATTTTTTTATTTTTTTATTTATTTTATTATTTTATATAAAAATAATTTAACAATTCCTCACTATTAATCCCCTCACTATCAATCCCCTCACTATTAATCCCCTCGCTATCAATCCCCTCACTATTAATCCCCTCGCTATCAATCCCCTCCGTTCTATCTCTGAAAACAAACGACCCTCACTAACAATCCCCTCATTATTAATCCCCTCACTATCAATCCTCTCCATTCTATCTCTGGAAACAAATGGGGCCTCAAGGAATTGGAGCTATAGAGGTCTTCATTGGTGAGAAATCGACTTGTGCGAAATGGGCTTGTGCGAAATGGGTCTTGGAGGGTGGGTAATGATGAAGACAGAGAAGAAGAGTGGTGTGGCATGCCTTTTTTCCGCGCCCCGCCTTTCAGAAAGGTTTGAAAAGGAGGTCTCACAGTTCGGACTCCCACGGTTCTGAATCTAGTCTCACAAGTGCAATATGAAATTGATAAACACCAAAGAGTCCAAATCTGAAAAATCTTTTTGGAAAATCGATTTTAAATCAAATAATTTCAAAATTGGACTACTTTTCCAGATACAGAGTCGCCACCTAAATATTTTATTTTGAAAAAATTTAGAAAATCCTGACTCGTGCCGAAGGCCACGTGTCCATCATCACCAAAGTTGTATCGACTTAGGAACTTAGGTACGAGAGGGGAAGGTCATGAATTAAGCACCCCTGCTCACCCGATCAAATATCGGTCTCTACTAATCATGGTATGATTTTTTATAAACATTATGTGCTCTTGTTTCGGTTTATTAAACTAGCTTTACTATGTGATGCGCACAAGCAAGTATAGACTAGTTTGCTCAATTTGGAACAATTCAACTCATGTTTGTTTGCAAAAATGGTTTGAATTTGCCACCTCGAGTGGGCTTTAGTTTGCGAGCTTTAGTTTGCGGATTTGCCACCAAACATGGTGGGCTTAAAACGTGATTTGCCACTCAACGGAGTGGGCTTAAACCGCACATTCGTTTAATCATTCCAATTCAAATAATAAGCCTTCATCCACAAGCATTCAAACAGTTTAGCATTTAAGCACATAGCCTCATGACAAGCATGCTAATCATGGCAACATTCACACTCATGCAAGTATGCTAAAGCGTAAAAACTCACCTAGTACTCCAAGCTAGGAAGATATGAGTTAGAAAAAAAAAGCATGATTCCTAACTATACAAAATGTCTAATGCAACACATGCAATATGGAATTAATAGGCTCGGCTACTAATATAGGATATGATTGATTTTGAACAACATGCGATTAAACATGTATTCAAATAAGATATTGAAATGACATTGCAGTTTGAATGATGCGCCGAGCCTCGATGCATGCAATACGAATAAATGGATGTAAGCATGCAATATGGTAATTAAAATATGTCCCTAATCTAACCATCAAAAGCGATTAAATAAAATGGAGAAAGGCGTGGGGTTGGAAAACATATACACATGCACGCACACTTATTACAATATTATGCCCTTGCGAAGGAGGGTCCGAATGAATAAGTTAACCAACTAGCTGATTATACTAATCTAATTATTACAAATCAAATGGATAACTAGCTAAGCTAATTACAACACTTTAACTAATTAGCAAACTAATTAATTAATTTACAACATAGACGTACACGAACTAATCAATTAAGAAATTAAACTATGCTGCCACTGTTCCATCTCAGGAAGTGGATAATGCACATGCTTGGTTCTCGCTCGAGAAGACCATTGTTTTGCTCTCGAAAGCCTCTATTTGCAGGGTTGAACATTTCCAGAACCTTTCTGCTTCACCTCACCAAAATCATGTTGAGGTTTACATCAGTGGCCTGTTGGCCATGGATGGCTGCTGCCGGCCATCTGCCAGCCAAAAAGTGCACTGCCGGCCAGAAATGATGCATTGATGGCCACTGATGCATTAGATCACCATACTGCAACAGAGCACAAACAGAGCGAAAATGGGATTTTTCCAAGGGTTTGTTTGTATTGTATTCCTCCTTATCATCTCAAAATCTTAAAGGAGTGACACATTTGGATCCAAAACCATCAATCAAGCAAGTTCATTACATGATGGCCAAAGATCCAAGTTATACAATTTCGATAAATGCATAAATATGACCAACAAGACTACCACCCTATCATGCATGATCAAGGGCAATGGAGACTAAGGAAAGTTGCACATTTCATCACTTTTGAGTATGAAATGCCCCATTTTCCTTGTGTTCAAACTAACGTCCGATTTGAACACATGCAATGCAACACAAAGAATGCTTATCTTGTCTATTTTATTTGCCAATTTTGTTTACAAATTTTAATTACCAAGTAATTCCTTAATCACTTAGTCCATTAGTGAGTGTCCTCTAAATGGAAAGAAAGCTCAAATCAAAGGTTGTTTTAGGCATGAAAGAGACCTCATGCCATTGGTAATGAACCCCAAAAGGGATTAAACTATTAAGCACAAACATCTCAATTTCATGCTTTAAACAAGCAAATGGTTTAAACCACTTTCAAAACAAAAATAAAACCAAAAAAGAGGGAAGGTTGCAGAAATGATTAGGTGTTGAAAATGAGAACTAAAATCACTAAAATATGCAACCAACTCAAACCAATGATAGTTAAAGCCTTAAAACACTAAGCTAGTGAAGGAATTAACACTAAAACCATGCCATGCAAGGCTCAAATGAGACAAACAACCCAAAACAGAGGCAAAATAGCCTTAAATATAGTCTAAAACATGCTGGACTCAGGCCACGAAAAGCTAAAACAATATGCTAATACATGGAGTTAACTAGGCATGCAAACAAGACACAAGGAGAGGAGGCTAACCCCTCCAATTTTGGACTTCAAAATAAGTTTTTTACCACTGAAAAACCTCTGAAATTCAGTGGTTAAAAGGCCCAAAAAAGTTGGTTTGAAAGTGATGGATAAAGGCACAAAAGCTTTACAAGCAAAGAAGCAAGAAGGGTGAACTACCCTTTAACCAAAAATGGCGCTTTAAGCCATAAAAACAGAGCTTTTATAGTTCAAAACTAGCCTCAAAATAGTTGAAAGAAGATAGAAAAACAAGTATTAAAAGCAAGCTAACAAGACTAGTATTCTACCTCTTGAAGCAAAGAACACTTTTAGGCACAAGTTCAAATAGCCTTAAATATAGTCTAAAACATGCTGGACTCAAGCCACAAAAAGTTAAAATAATAAGCTAATACATGGAGTTAACTAGGCATGCAAACAAGACACAAAGAGGAGAGGCTAACCTCTCCAATTTTGGACTTCAAAATAAGTTTTTTACCATTGAAAAACCTATGAAATTCAGTGGTTAAAAAGCCCAAAAAAGTTGGTTTGAAAGTGATGGATAAACGCACAAAAGCTTTACAAGCAAAGAAGCAAGAAGGGTGAGCTACCCTTTAACCAAAAATGGCGTTTTAAGTCATAAAAACAAAGCTTTTACAGTTCAAAACTAGCCCCAAAATAGTTGAAAGAATATAGAAAAACAAGTATTAAAAGTAAGCTAACAAGACTAGTATTCTACCTCTTGAAGCAAAGAACACTTTTAGGCACAAGTTCAAACCAAAACCACCTTCAAGAACTCCAAGAAGGCCCCAAGTAACCTCAGCTCAAAGGTGAGAGGAATTGGTTTAGGATATGTGGGCTAAAGTGTAGAGAAACTAAGCAAACACACACAAATTTGCAAGAGAGAGAGGGAGAAAATCTTTGTCTCAAATTTTTCTAACCCCACACATAAGAGAGAGGGGTCCTATATATATAAAACAAAAAATTTTCTCACAAACATCCAGCCATACATGTGTTGGAAAATGCATGAAACTGTGCAAACAGTTGGCACAAAACATCACAAAAATATCTGCAAGAAACACTGGTGGCCGGCCGGCCATCAGCGATGGCCGGCAAAGCTTCATTGATGGCCGACAGGGCACATCAATGGCCGACAAAGGAGAAGTGGTGGCTGGCAGCCTCCAAGGATGGCCAGTAGGCTATCTGAAACTTCATGCTAAAAAGACCTAGGCATGGTCCAAAGATGAGACAAAATGGATGCAAGGTTTAGAATGCTCAAACCTGTGACGTTCCGCCAATGACTTCAAGCGCTAGGCGAGCAATCAAACTCGTCAACGGATGTACCTGCAAGAACATCCAAGTCTTAAAGGGCCGTCAAAAATAGGATGTCTACTAGTGGGAGTTGGAGAACAAGAGAGTGAGATTGTAATGGCTTGGGGGAAGATAATGGGAGGGTTTAGGGGTTAGAAATAGGGTTTGGTGGTTTGAAACGAGTGGTGAAACATTATCTTCCTTGTTGTGGTTGCTCATTGTAAGTTGCTCTGTTTTTTTATGCCCTATTCATATAATTGACAATAACATTTTACTGTAAACTAGAGTAAAATTTTACTATGATTTAGAATAAGATATTATTATAAAACAGAGTAAAATGTTACTGTTTATGTCAATTTTGACGGTAAATTATTATTATTTTTTTAAAGAATTTCATAGTCAACCTAAATTTTGTTTGATACATCTTAATGAAAGAATTCTAGAAATATTAATTTTATTAAAAAAAATGACATTTAAATCAAAAGTTATATCCTTTTAAAGTTTAAAATATTAAATTAGTCATTACAGGTATTTTGGTAATACACTACTAGAAAAAGGAGCTTTGGACACGGAACATTTTGTGTCGGTTTAAAAATCGCCGTAAAAAGCAAGCTTTTGTGACAGCAAATAAAGATGTCGAGAAATTAATTTGTTTGTGACGGAAAATCTAATCTCCTGGCAAAAAGTAAGATTACATGCGACGGTATGTTAACTGTGGCAAAAAATTTTGGTCCTGTGGATTTTTATTTTTATTTTTTGCAATGCACTTTTGGAAGTCCATCGCAAAATGTTTATTTTTTGCTTATTCATTCGCGATGGGCCTTAACATCGTCGCAAATGGTAATTCCTAAAACCTCACTTCCTTGTCCCTCCATCTTTCCCACTTTTCCCAAACTCTCTATATTCTCTTAGGATAAAAAAGAAAACAAGAAAAAAAACAATACTTCATTATTCTGCCCTAATCTCACTTCTCTCTCTTTCTCTCTCTCGCGCCCAGTCATCACTATGTCTCTCTCGCAGTGGCAACAACAGCATCGTGGGCAACGTCCAAGTAACTCTCCTCTCCTCTTCTCTTCTCTTTTTTCCTCTCACTCGCGTAAATGCTCACAATCTCTCTCTCGCTCTCGCGTTACCCTTACAGACTGTCTGTAGCAACAGCGATGGCGATTTCCTCACCGGTTCTCCCTCCAGCATCCAGGTATAGCTGTCCTTTGCTTTCCTCTGCTCTCCTCTATTCTTCTATCACCTGTCTTCTCCCTGCTAAGTTGATTGAAACTCTTTTTTATTAAGAATAAAATAGTTCACAAGAACAAAACCCTTTTCTTTTTCTTTGCCCTTTTAGCTCCCTTTGCTCCAAATAATATATATATATATATATATACATAATTTTTTTATAGTGAAGTAATTTTATTGATTTCAAAGGAGTTTAAGTACTATTCTTAGATCAATGTTCGTTATCTGTGAACAGGAAGCTGAAATAGTCTATTTGTTTATCAAATCATACTGAGTTTTGCTGGTTGACTGAGTTGACACACTAAAATTTTTCTGTGAAAACTTGTCCATTGTTTCTGTTTCGGATAATTTTTATCATTTATTTTTGTGTTGATCGGTTTATGTAAGGAAATGACTGAAGCCAGAATTTTGGGTATTTTGGTTAGTTTTATGTTTACTGTTTCAACAAATTTGTCAACTTTAAAAACAAAACTAGTTTGTCAGGAAAATGTGAACAAGTTTCAATTTTATAGAATTTTAGAAAGAAATTTTTTTGAAAACAAGCTTTCATTCGATTCGCAATCCAAAATAGTTATTTGAAATTGGTATGCCACTGGCATGGCAGTCCATTAGAACATTCATGGTTGGTCTCCCTGTTAGCATTTAAAAGCCTCTAAAATCCTTCCAAAACAATACTCTAATCGCTCATATTCTCATCTTCTTCGATCGTAAGTTACAAAAAAATCCCCTATGGTAAAAGATTTTGCAGCATCAAGAATCATACGAATTGTACATGTTTTTAACCGCAATTGTACATGTTCATATCTATAACCATTATATAAAAGCATAGAAACCTTAGGTGAGTTTAACGTTAAAGTTTCTTCTTTGCCCATGGTCTATCTATTTATTACCTGACTTGTGAAACAATACTCTAATTGCTCATAACATTGTGAAACTTTCATACATTTTTTAATTAAGAAATGAGGGATAGCTGATTGCATAGAATTGTTGCCCGAGGTATTCCTGACATCATTTTCATCATATTAGAGTCTACATGAGAATATTGGAATAAAATACTTCTTACACATTTGGTGCTTCACAATAGTTCATTTTATCAGACTTAGAGAAAAAGACATAGCTGATCGTGGGATAATGGTGCATGCAATGGAGGATATTTCAGCAAAAATTTCCTTAGAAACAAATTTTGTCTCTGTTTCTTGTCTGAAGGTTGTTAGCCTTTACAAGACCTTAACTTATGTCTAAGTATTGTTGTTATTATTTTGGTTATATTTTACGACTCCTTTATGGATTTTCACTTTTCAATAAATTTCATTTTGTTAAACTTCTTAAAGGATTCATGACATTTTATTGAAGCCTTTTTTTTTTCTTTTCTTTTTTTTCTCTAACTTTGTGACTTAGCATTTGTTTTCTTTACAAATACTTGCAGCTTTATATGGAGACTACACAGGACCTCCTTAATCCTGCTATTGATAACATATCCATCATGGAAGATCCAAAAACAGGAGATGTTTCGCTACCTAGGGCTACCGTTGTAGAAATCAGGGGTCACCGGAGTTTTATAGAACTTCTATGATTAGGTGAAGCTCGCCGCTTTGCTTCTAACACAAAGTCGAACACAAAATCTTCTCATAGTCATGTCATTCTAATGGTAAATGTATTGCTTTTATGGTCTTCTAATGGTTATGCATCTAAAATTACTAGGAACCAAGGGCGGACCCAGGATTCGTTGATGGGGTGAGCTAATATTAAGGTAAAATTATACAATATATTTTAAGTATAACCACATAAGAAAAAAGAGAATTTAATAATATAATCTAGATTAATATCTAAATTTATTTATTAGCATCAAGCTAACTAAGTTGTGCTCGACGAGTCTTTAAAGATTCGAATTCATCAATAACAGAATCTAGATCAATTTTCAAAGTAAGGTATCGTTTAAGGTAGAGAGACAAGCAATCGGCAAGAAACTCATCCCATTGAATTGTGAATGGCAGTTTTAACATGCTTCATACCCAAAAATGCTCTCTCCGTAGTCACCGTAGAAATAGGAAGGGTTGACACAAGAAGAATCAATTTATAGATCATGGTGTAATGCTCGAACTTTCTTGTCACAGATAGTTCTCAGCACAAATTGGCAAGGGTAGATATCTTAAGAAACTCGAGATCACAAGCAACATCAAGCTTATAATGCATTAATTGACATCTCAAAGCATGGATGTCCTAAGAAGTGAAATCTTGGAGATAAAATTTCTTAGCAACATTGCAAATGTTATCCACATTAAAAGATCTAAAATTACCACTAGGATCCAAAGTCGAGCTAAGAGAGAAGTTGCACTACCCCATCATTAAATCTATGTTCTAACTCCATCAATTGAAAATCAATTGTAGAGTTGAATATGTCAAAGTGATAATGATGCTCAATTGTAGTGTGATCTTGTTGACGACGACGACTTGAACTTTAATAATTCCCTCTCGTCTTGAACTTTAATAATTCAATTAGATTGCCTTGTGTAGAAACAACATTTTTGACCATCCTTAAGACTTGGACGTCATTGTTTGAACACCCGATGATTGTGCTCGCTCATGTTCATTTTGAGTCTCTGAAGGTCTCGGCTGAGTGCCATGCCTTGGAGCCTCTAATCTTTTCTATTTTGTGCTTGGTTGTGGACCAAGAGCTTGTTGTTTTGAATCTGGAGAAGAGGGTGGCTTGTCGGCCATTCCCAGTGTCCGTCGACCATTCCCAGTGTCCATCGGCCATGGCTTGTGCCTGCCGGCCATCAGTGCTAGCCGGTCGGCCACACTGATGGCCGGTCAGCTACATTTATGGCCGATCGGCCACTAATGATGGCCGACGGCCATTTTTCTCCTTTTTCAGATATTTATTTGCCAGCTGTGCCAGCTGTTGATCACTAATGCTCATCTCCATGCACGTGTATAGAGAGATGAAGGCAAGCTTTTTGCTTATTTTTCTATATAATGGGGGGTCTCTCCCCCATTTTCGAGGTTACAAAAATTTAGTGAGAAAATTTCCTCTCTGTCTCTCTCTAGAATCCTCTCTTACTTCCTATTTTGTGCTTGAAAGTGAGAATTCTCTACACTTTTGTTCTAACACCCTTAGCCAAACACCTTCATTGTCATGACCCGAACCCGCCCCTATGAGTTAAGGACATAACCGGCCAATAATCAAGGGATTACTTACGGCCTCAAACCAAACAAGACATAACTCATCAGAGTAAAGGGGCCAAACGGAAGCAAATTTAAAACTTGTGTCCATAGAGCTGTGCTTACATGGCACATCACAACAGTCCATATATATATATACCTGTTAATAACTCACATCAAAGGGATAATAACACAAAGTTCTGTACATACAGGATCATTTAAGTTTAAGTCAGTCAAACCCAAAGTTTATATACAAAAGTAATCCAATGTTTTCGCCGATATAACAAAACTATATCAAAAGAACAAAACGGGCGAAGACAAGTCTCGTGCGTGAGACGTTTGGGCTAACTCTTCAAAACCTTGACTGTTTCTCACATATTTCACCGAGGCTAAGTTTGGACATCCCTTGGCTAACCTACATACACATGAATGAGCGTGAGCGAAAGCTCAGTGAATAATATCAAATAAAGAAGTTATGCAAATGAGATTCACATTTATCAAACGGCCTTGGGCCCATGTAGAATTCTATTTAGTGCATTATTTTGGTACATTAGGCGATTCAAGCCTAAAAGTATCAAACGGCCTTTCACCCACTTTGTTCCTTAACAAATGGCCTCGAGCCCAATTCATTCATGTATATCAAATGGCCTTTGGCCCAATCAATTGCATCCAACGGCCTTTAGCCCAATCATTCGTATCCAACGGCCTTTGGCTTAATCGTTCATGTATGTCAAACGGCCTTTGGCCCAATCAATTGTATCCAACGGCCTTTGGCCCATTCATTCATTCATTCATATCAAACGGCCTTTGGCCCATTTATTCATTCATGTCAAACAGCCTTTGGCCCATTCATTCATTCATGTCATACAACCTTTGGCCCATTTATTCATTCATATCAAACGGCTTTTGGCCCATTTATTCATTCATGTCGAACGGCCTTCGGCCCATTCATTTATTTATGTCATACGGCCTTCGGCCCATTTATTCATTCATGTCGAACGGCCTTTAGCCCATTTATTCATTCATGTCGAACGGCCTTTGGCCCAGACAATTGTATCCAACGGCCTTCAGCCCAACCATATGGCATAACAGATATTTGTCCCGAATTCAATTTAACAACTTAAAAGAATTATATAGAAGTAGGCAATTAAACAAATAACATACTTCAAATATCTCTATTAAGATATTACTCACAGTGATCTGCCGATAGATTTGCCCTCGTGCTTGACCCTACACATTTCATGAACATAATGGGTCACAAACAATTCAATCCGTTCTTAATTCATACATTCCTCTTAGGCTTCTTTCTTATCATTTTAACTCATTCACAATGCTCAATACATGCCTAAGAGTGCTTAGAAATGAAAGAGAATGGAAAATGAAACATATAGTTACTTTTCAAAATTTCAAAAACAGGACTCCTTGCTCGAGCGTGGCTTTGGATGCTCGAGCGGACCCCTTTGATCTGCAAAAATACTGGTTGCCTTAATTTTATGCTCGAGCGTGAATTCGGGTGCTCGAGCTGAACGTCACACTACATGGCTCCCCGCTCAAGCATGAATCTCCCCGCTCGAGCGGACATGCCAATTTCTGGGTTTTCCATAACTGTTCTTGAGCTTCAACCATGCATTCAAGTTGATATTTCTTGCATTATACAGCCTATAACTCTCATATATATATACCAACATGATACAAACACCAAATCACAGCATTATGAGGCTCAAATCCCATGAATCAAATACATGCACGTCCCAAATCATACCAAATTTATTTCCAACACAACAAATTTATATATCTGGCACCCATGCTTCTATGAATTGCACTTGCATGTGGAACACAACTCCTATTCTCAACTTAGATGATGAAGAGATGGTCAAAAATAAGAACTTCAATTAAAATCTAACATGGATTATACATTTTATGCTCAAACATGCCAATTCATAGCAATTCCTCACATACATGCATCTATTGACTTTAAATTCATCAATTGCCACTCAATTCTTGTTCTTGGTCACATAATTACTTGAATTCACATGGTTACAAACTCAAACCCATGAATTAAGGGTTGATTACTCACCTAGGAGCTTCAATTCTTCCAAATTGTAGCTAATTCTTGAGCCTAGCCTTTCAAAGCTTGAGCTCCTTAGCAAGATCTTCAAGATTGGCCCTTCTCTCTCTCTAAATCTGGTTCTCTCTCTCTCTCTCTCTCTCTCTCTCTCTCTCTCTCTCTAAGGTGTGATTTCAGCCAAATGAGTTTAAAAGAGAGGAATTGAGTGAGAATGAGCCTTTTTATAGGCTCTCTTAATCACATTTCATTAACACTAATTAATTAAGCACTAACTCATCAATTTAATCTATTTGATTTGATCCGAATCAATTTTCAATTAAATTTCACCGTAGGCTCTAAAAATTAAACCAATCACAATGGCGTAGTCAATTTCGAATTCTATGGTCGATAAGGCCTTCAATTTAAATTCTAGAGCAGCGAATCAAACAGATTTTCCTACGGTGAATAGATAGAAATTCAAAACCACATATATTCACATGAATGGCACTCAAAATCATATCAAATACATAATCACATTCATAACAGAGATCAATTAGCATAATACGGAACAGGGTTATCACATTCACCTTGGAGCTGAGGTTCTTGGAGGCCTTGTTTGAGCTTCTAATGTTGGTTGTGGCTCAGAATTGCTACTGCTTGTTGCTGTGCTTCAAAGGTATAAAGCTTACCTCTTTAAAGCTTTATTTTATTTAATTACTTGGCCACCTTTTAACATTGTTTTGACCTGGTTTTTCAACCATAAAAAACTCTATTTTTGAGGTTCCAAAATGATGGTCTAAGCCTTGTTAAGTTAGAGGGGTTGTCTCCTCTTTTGCTCTTTGGCTTGTGAAGCCTCTTGTGCCATTTTTTCAAAGCTCTTAAAGAAAATTTTTTTGGCCTTTTAACCACTAAATTCCAGGGGAATTTCAGTGGTAAAAACTTGATTTTGAGGTCCAATATAGGAGGGGGTGGCCTCCCCTCCTTGTGTCTTGTTTACAAGTGTAAATGGCCTAGCATGTGAGCATGTTTTTCTACCCTTTTGAGACTTGATCTTAGCATGTTTTTGTTACTGATTTAGCATGTTTTAGCTCTATTTTGAGCCTCATTGGTCATATGAGCCTTGCCTTGCATGGTTATAGTGTAAATGGCTTCACTAGCTTTGTGTTTTAAGGCCTCTAACATGTTGTGCATGTGATGATTGCATGTTGTAGCATCATTTAATATGTGATTTTAGTGCAAATATCTCTGTCACACTCTCACTTATCTCACACTTTCATTGCTTTTGAGAGTTGTACCTTGAGTCTTATTTGTAGCCTAACATGCAAGCATGTTTTTATTGCCTTCTATGCTTCGATCTCAGCATGTTTTAGCCACTGTTTTGGCATGTCTTAGCTCTATTTTGAGCTGGTTTGGTCATTTGAGCTTCATATCGCATGCCTCTAGTGTAGTGCTCTTCATTACCTTTAATGCTTTTCACTCTTAA